ATTCTGTAGAGAAAAAAGATGCAACTAATCAATGTATAAGATCAATCATCAAAATCATTAAAAAGTAATAAATACAGATTTAACACTCAGTAAATTTCTTGCTTTTAAATTATGATTATTGCAGATACTTAAACACACACTTCTCTACAGAGATGCTACTTACCACTTTTACTGTAGTCCTTTACAAGGAAGGGAAAGACAAGGGGGGGGAAGTTTTCCTAAAAGATTATCCAATGAGTCAGTGACCTGTGGGGTTTGTTGTAAAACTCTATTATTAGGACTGAAGGCCTGAAAGGCTTTTTATTATATCGCTAAGTTCTTTTTTGCAAGGCTTCAGCAAATGAACTGATTTATCTGGTTCTGCATGCTTGGGGCTTGATACATGACAGGTTTCATCTGCATAGTACCATTGATAAAATTTATCTGCACATCAAAAAAGTCCATCTCCTGAAGTTAAAAGAATTCATGCATATGCCTGGATCAGAAATGTTTCAGTGGTGAGTAAAGAATCTGTGATATCTCATAAAATGCAACCAAACTACAATAAGTTCAACAACTGCTTGTGAATGCACAACAGTGCTATTGAAGATACCATACCAAAAAACAGCAACAACAACAAAAGGCAGACCAGAAAAAGTTTTTGTTTACATTAATAAAGTATGAGATAGGGCTTTGTTATTATCCTGTGAATATTAGCTAAAAATGGGAAAAATTAATCTATTCACAAAGAAGAAAAGTAACAATATTTCAAAATAAATTTTAAGTAGTGCCAGTTGTGTACAACTGCCACGCCATTAGGAAAATTAACCCCTGGAATTAACTCTGATGGGAAAAAATGTTTACATTGTTGCTGTGATCCACAATTAAAAATTTTTCTAAACCTTAAGATTTTACAGAAAAGGAACTTTAGCAAATAGGAGACAAAAAGGTAACCAAGAACTGCTTGCATTTCAGAAATAATAATCACCTTAAAAACATCTATGTAATATTCTGAAAGGAAGGCACAGCCTACCTATATGGATGACAATAATAAGGTATTTCCATATTTCCAACAGATAAAGTATGTAACACACTCTCTGAAGAAAAAAAAATCAGCAGTTGAAGAAGGTATACGTTGAGTTAAATATTCTTGTAATTTACCATCTTTCAGAACATGAGGTTGTTACATTAAGCTCCAGTCACTCCTCACACCTACTCTTCCCAGCACTTGGTAATAATAGACAGTGGAGCTAATTTTCTGTCACTCGGAAAGAACTGTTGGATTGCTAAACTTGTATCATCATCACCTCTGAAACACAGTAAAAATCACTGTTAGAACCAATAGTTTATTAGATCAAACCCACCATCAACAATGTCAACTCTGCCTGGTTGTGTTAACAGGAAGATGTTTTACGAGTTCCACCACTGGGCATCAATTTAACTTCCAGCACCAGTATGCTGTAAAACCGTGAAGGTAATTTATATGGTGACCCATGTGTGTGGGAAGCAATATCTAGGTGAAACTTCTCACAGTCTGACAAAATGCTTTGATTTGCACCATTCAGATGATTGAGCAAGAAGAGTTTAAGCAATCACTACCAATAGCCTTTATCTCCAAATGCACTAAAAATTTATTACTGTATGAGTGCAACCTATTGCTTTAGAGCCTAGCTTGATAGAATAGAAATGATTGGATAAATATTACATTTTCAGCTGGTACACATCTTGTCCATTAGGTTTAAATATTGGACAAGCTATGTGTTTAAGATAAACATCAGTCTTAGCTGATTCCATCACACAGTACATTTAGAGAGCCTCCAAATGTTTCCATAGTAACATTTTTGTGCTTACATATAGCTGAGGATACATGTTCCTTGCCAATTAGGAGAAAAGAAACACAAAGACCACTGTACTCTTCTTGAACCACCTACCTTTGTCTTTTACTTAACACTTAATACAGTTGACAGAATTTAACATCCACTGTTGTGTATGCAAATGAGTAAAGCACTCAAGCTGAAAGGACATAAATAGAGCTCACCCATCTATTCCAAATAAGTTTATTATTGTCCTTCCTAGAAAATTTACACTATAGGATGAGTATCCCTTAACTAAAATGCTTGGGACCAGATGTGTTTTATATTTGTATATATGTGATAAAAATCTCTTGGGGATTTTATCTAGACGTCAGATTATCTTGTTTCTTACACTTTATTACACATAGCCTGAAAGTAATATGACACAAATTTTCTAGGGTGCCTCTCTTTAGACTGCAACCCATCACATGGGGTCACAGGTATGGAATTTTCCATGTGGGGACATCATGTCAGCAGTAAAAAAAGTTTTGGATTCTGGAGTATTTTGGATTTGGGGGCTAGTGATGCTCAACTCATAGGATAGATTTTACATTCACAGCTTTCCAGTACTTACTGCTATATATTAAAGGCAACCTCTGTATCCACTTGCCTGAGAACATGTATCTTTAAAGATGACAATGGATGAATCTAATGTATAGTTATGAGCAAATGTGCCAGGATAACTGCAATGCAACTTTTAAACAGCCTCTCTAGGATCATAGCAGGGATCCTATGCATATAATCTTCAATGCCTTTGGGGCTCCTGGGCGACTAACCTGATTAACTCAGTGTTACTTTCTACTACTTTCTAACTTAGTTTGATTGCTACTGAGAGGTAAATAATGATACTTCCAGTTTGGTGATGAAAAATACACTCAGACAGGTTAAATAATTTGACTAGTAAAAAGTAGAAATGGAACTGTAACTCAGGCCTGTCTGACTCCAAAGCACTTTCCCCTATAAGCCACTTTTGCTCAAGATCAGACTACAGTAATTAAAATCTTACACTTGAAGATTTAAAGAAGTACCTAACGAAATAGCATACATATGATTATTTATAAGATTAATATTCCTAATCACCAGCTCTTATTAAAATATATACTACCAATTAAGGGATTCATAAGGTAAAATGACTATTGGTCATTAATATTGGCAGTGAGTTCTTTTCCTTAATTAAGGTCTCCAGCCTTGTTTTCATTCATTTTGTTAGCTGTATCAAAAAGTGTTTTGTGCAAAATGGGTATAATGCAAAAACTTACTATTTAGAAATAAGTTATCCCATATTCCATAGACAAAGCCATTTGTTATACAGCACTACTAGAAGAGACTTAAGCATTTAACTTGAAATTCCTAGCAAGATCTTTTAAGCTGTTTTTCTTATCTTGTTCTTCAAAATTCGAAACTAGAAAATCCCACTTGACTAGAAAGGCAAAAAAAGAAGGTTGTCCCTTCTAGGGTTAACAGATGCTTTTTGTAAGATTTTAGGTAAGATTAACCTTTTGCTCACAATAGGAATGGTTATTGGTTTTATTTTTTTACTGTCTTTAACTCAGGTAAAAATCAATATAGAGCGAGACAAAGGGCTCTAGAGGGTCTGGCTATACCAGCTTTTGGTTTGGCTCCTGAACAATTCTACAACATGCTGAGGCTGGGAAGGATTAGCCTGCTTGTGTTGAGTAAACCGATGATACTCAATAAACAGTTTCTGTTGTAAACCCCTTAGGACGTGCAAAGCCACACTAGTTGGCAATAGACCAGATAAGCAGCAGAACCAGCTGTAATCTCATTTAGACCTGAGCTGATCCTCCTGTCCTTTCATTCCACAGGATCAAAGCAAACCACTGAGGAGGCAGCTGTATTATAGTAGCTCTGCTTGCTGGATGCAGCAAACATTTCATAAATTCCACTCCTTGAAGCAAGTCTCTACCTAATCTATCAGAGCTGGGACAATCAATGGATTTTTGAATTCATTAGACTGATTATTACAGGGTAACCATTTTCTCTTTGTAGAAATGTGATGATTGCACGCCAACTTTATAAAATGGCTTCTACTTCTGACTATTGCTTTCTTCTGCAAGGGCCTAAATTTTCTTCCACAATAGCAAATAAAAATGGCTTGAAACTATTTAGCTCATGAACTTTAATGCATATTAATGAGCATGTAGTAGCTAACTACCACTCAAATATAAGCGAGTTGTAATCATGATCCATACTTCCCATGCTCAGAGATACAGAGAATGCCAAGCCTTATCGTGAGACAGCAATACATTGGCCCAAAGTGATGTGCAGTTCATTAGCAATCACTATTTAACTTTACTTGCAAATTTCCCATAAAATAGAACACAATTTTCGGTGTTCTTAAAAATGGACTGTTAAGTGTTTCAAAGTAATCCATTTTCATTCCCCCATCCCTTTCAACAGAATTGATATTTTAGTATCTCATTTTACTGGGAATTTCCTTTTTATAGAAATGTACATTTCAAGCTATAAATTTTTAAAGAGTCACCATTCTCAAATTTAAAAGAATACTAACTGTATGTATTATGGGCACTAAAAAGACAGGTATTAGATAGCACATCACAAATCACACTATGAAACACCAGCATTTAAAAAGAACCAACTCTTATTTAACATGGAACGCCAACAGTTGAGAAAAGCCTTTATGGAACACCTAGTCAGGAAGTTGGAAAAATTTAATACTTTTTGTAAACATAGGCTTTGAGCACCATATGCAATGCCACATCTTCAACTGTTTATTCAAAAACAACAAAAAACATTCTTAAGCTCTATACCTATACAAAAATAGGCCCAAGACCAGAATTTTGTCAGCATTGACTTAGTCTGTCAACCCTTTTTTAGCTCAAACTACCCATATTACAGGTAAGAACATAATCCTTCAAGAACACTAGTTTCTCTGCATATTGAACTAGCATGTGTGTTTCTCCAGACTCTTAACCTTTAACCTGATTTTATAAGAAATGGTGTGATCACACTGCTTCTGAAAGAGAACAATGTGAAGGTCCTGCTACAATCCAGAAACATTTGAAAACATTTGAAAGCTAAGCAGGAATGCTAGGGATACATCAAAGTAGACAGCATACAAAAATAACTGCACATCAACTGACTCCACCATTCCCAAGCTAACAAATGCTACACTTAATGACTCACCTTCTCGCCATCTTCTTCAGATGTAAAAGGTGCCATTTAACATAATCACATAATAAGAGCAAAAGTGAGAAACATCAACTTTTCTAATATTGGTAAAATACAGATCTTTGTAATAATAACAACATGATAGGAAAACTGCAAAACTGTGTAATTATACTTTAATTGTATTGTGAGGCATGCATTAATCACAAAGTTTAAGTACTAAGGACAGAATTATTATAATTCTGTAAAACACATTTAAGCTAGCTAAGTAGGTCAGAACCACTAACATGCAACAGGAGACCTCTGGGAACTTATCAGTTAATGGCTATTTATGTGCAAATGAGTGCCCTCCAACCCTCCAAAATCCAGGGTAGCTGAGAAGTATGTCTGTTAACCAGGAGCACTGCTTCACTGCAGAAGCATAAATTAAACTACTTTACTGGAATGATTTTTAGTTCTACTTTTTACAGGACATATTTACAATTTACAATTAACAGGGCATACTTAACAACAAGAAAAAAGGTTGCTGGACACTTTTCAAAACTGAACTTGACTGAATTCCACATGGAAACAACACACTAGAACTTGAGTAAAATGAAAGGAAAACATTGCTTACACTTCACATCTCCCAAGAGGACTAACACGCTTAAAAAATTAAGTTCGAATGTAAGCACTACATTTACATCCTTTTTACAATGAACTAAAACAAAATAAAATTCTATTTTATATACTTATATTCATATTTTGCAGAACACAAAGAAATTCAATGGAGTTTGAAGCCATCATAATTTTGTTATAATAGTCAACCAACCTATGGAAAGATACTTTGAGGGCATGTGTAGCATACGCATGTAATCCCACTTACTCAGGAGGCAGAGATCGGGAAGATGGCAGTTCAAGACCAACCCGGGCAAAATGTTGAGGACATCCTATCTCAACCAACAAGCTGGGTGTACTGGGCACACCTGTTATCCTAGCTATGTGGGAGGCACAGGTAGGAAGACTGTGATCTGAGACTGACCCTGGACAAAAATGTAAAAAATAACCAAAGCAAAAAAGGGCTGTGTAGAACTCCTAGCAAGCCCCATTAACAGGAGGAATGCTAAAGGTCTCATTTCTGATTTGTTTTAAAGGCAAATGAAACAGTCGGGTTTTTTGTTGTTGTTGTTTATTTGTTTGTTTTGAAAAGAAGATGTTATCATTTAGGTCTTCAATGTCCCCCAGAGCCTCATGTGTTGATGGCATGGTTCCCAGCTAATGGGCTACTGGGAAGTAGTGGAACCTTTAGGAGGTGGGGTCTAGGAGAAACAAGTTAGGTCACAGGACTGTGTCCTGGAAGGGTATATTGACACCCTAGCCCCTTTCTCTCTTTGCTTCCTGGCTGCCAGGAGGTAAGCAGCTTTGGTCCCTAATTTGCTACCCTTATTTGTCATAGATTCACAGTAACAAGGCAAGTAAGCATGGACTAAACCTCTGAAACTGTGAGCCAAAAAAATCTTTCCTCTTTATCAGTTGTTTATCTCAGGTACTTTGGTAAAGTGACAGAAAGCAGACTAACAACAATGTAACAGAAAAGAAAGCATACAATTTTTCAATGAAATATATATGGTTAAAGGAAACCACTTAGTACTCACCAGCAAGATCATTTCAAACTTCAGTACAGAGGTAGCATAAAACTTAAGTACTGGCTAACTTTTAGATCTTTAATGAGACAACAGCATATTTAAAATTACAGTTTTTAAAAGATTTAATACAGTGAGTGCTGGTGGAGTGGCTCAAGTGGTAGAGCACCTGCCCAGTAAGTGTGAGGCCCTGAGTTCAAAACCCACTACCACCAAAAAAAAGAAAAAGACTGAATATAGAAACACAATTTATACACTCCAAATTGTGTTAATATTCTCTTGGAACTCTTTCTTTTCCATCATTAACTGGAAAATAAAATATAACCTAGTACAAAGTTAAAGACAAGTAAAGGCCAAAACAAACTATAAACATCTTTAAAATTATAGTATTTTACAATATAGCAAAACCTCAGCACTTCAAGCTAGACTGAATAAATGAGATGTTTGTGGGAACTCTAATATTTTAAGCATTCAGATAATAAAAAATTGTATTCTATTCCTTTAAAACGGTAAGAAAAAGCCAGGCACAGTGGTACATGCCTGTAATCCCAACACTTTAGAGGCAGAGGAGGAAGATTGCAAGTTTTGAGGCATGCCTAGGCTACAGTGAGTTTGAGGCCAGCCTAGGGTACACTGTGAGACCCTGCCTCAAAAAAAAAAAAAAAAAGGTTTCATGCATCTTTTCGTAATTAAAATTTCCAGAGCTATAAGCAAATTGCAGTACAGCAAATGATTTTATCAAGATTGCTTTGAGTTAGTATGTTTTGAAAACACATCATTTCTGGATTCAGAGGGCAGTTATGGTGGCAATAAGTGCTGCACCCTGAACAATGCTTTGTATGTGAAACAGAAAACACAAGCCTGGCCTAATATCACAAGTTATATTTAAATGTACAATACATGTGAGAATTGAGAAGCATTTCTGAAAAAATAATTTCATTACAAGTGTTTACTTTTAGAAAGAAAAATATTAACTACAAAAAATAAATTATCACACAAATGTAACCATCTGTATAAGGTCATCACCCTATTTCACAAGGGAACTCCCAGAAGCTACACAGCCAGGGCTCAGTTGAGGCTCACATTAGGGGTAATGCAGAGGGTCACACCAAGTTTTCAAGTCACAGGCAGATTCTCAGTCAGATCTCTGTGTATCAAGCACTGCCCTAGGGCTTAATTAACCCTGTTAGCATAACAGAATTTTCCATTTCTGAAGATACAACAGATACATAGTTAGCTTGATGAAGGACTAACAAAATTAACAGGATCCCCTCTAAAATTAGGTAACATTATATGAGGAAAAGAATTATGTGGGTATATATGAAAGTCAATGAAAATTACCAATCTCTGCATTTATGTAGATGAAATAAAATAATGACATATTAAAGTTGTTTCGACTTCCTTAGGATAATGAGGTTTAGAGCATCAATGAAAGAATTCTTAGAGCAGGCAAATTATTTTATTGGTAGCTAAACATACAAAAAAGGCACATTTAAGTTTAAAAAGTCCAAGTCATAATTCCTAAATTTTCTGCAATTGCTCAAGATATTGCTTAAATATTATCGTCTGACTATAGAGCACCAACCTGAGTTATGAGATATTCCCTTTTCTTTATTGCATTTATCACTCAGTCCCAGCCATAACTTCAAAACTAATGCTCTCTCCTACCTTTTTGTATTTCAAAAAAATTACTTTGGCATTTCTCAACGTATTTTTGTATAAGTAGACTTTATCACAACAATGGCTTCCAGCCTAGTTCCCTTACCTAACATTCTCTTTCAGTTCATGTGCCTATTAGTGGCAGAACCATCTATATAATTATCATTCATTTAGGAGACTTATTAAGCAATACTGTATGTCACCCACTTTAGCTGAATATCTAGGTGTTGAAGAGATAACAGAGTCTTCCTACCCTCTAAAAGTATCAGTCTAGTGAAGGAGATGAACAAAGGCATATAGTTCAAGTGGTAAATGCTCTGAGTGATACAAATATAAGAGGGTAATCAAGGGAAAAAGACACTGTCTGTTCTTGGAAGGTGTAGAAACCCTTTACAGGAGAAACTATTTCCCTTATACCTAAAAGGATCGGGTAAGGTGTTTTTCTCAAGGGGAAAATGATTCAGTGTGGGAGCACAGCACGTGGTGGGTTTAAAAAACTGTTTTCATCACATTGTCTTTCTACTGAAACCTACAGTCCTTGATTTCCTCTGCACCCAGATTTATACTCTTGTCCTAATTTCAGAGCCCTGATAATCTGGTGTCATCTCGTACGAAATCATGGATCTGCTGCTTCCATCAGAGTTTCTTCATCACCTGTTAAGAACATTTAATCCTTTCCAGCCTCCAGTTCTTCAGTCACTTTCATTCTAGCATTTTCTTACTCCCTTATGTTTTCAACAAGTTTTCTCATTTCCATTCTTATAACCTACCTCTTTCACAAGGCCTTTGCTATTCCTCTTCCTTCCTTATCACATGTATAAATTTTACTTCTTCCACACCTGGCACAAATGCCATTTCAAAAATCTTTCCTAATCTCCTTGTTGCTTTTCTTCCTTCTTTCTCCTATTAATGAATACTCAGAACATGTTACAGTATTCATTACTCATTAATTTTTACTTTAAAGAACACTAGTTACATATAAGTATAGTTTACTTAAAAAAAACTTATTAAGAACAAAATATAATCTTTATTTTTGGCACACAATCCAAGAAGAATCTTGCACTAGTAGAGTTAAATAAGTACGCTAAATACTGTAGTATCCTATTAATAAGTTTTTTATATTGTGTAAAGTAGCATGTATCTCCAACAAGAGGATATCTGGGGTCTCTTTGTGCCCTACCTAACATCAGGTAAGACAAAGTCCATACAAAGCATCCAGAAAAAACTCACTCAAGTCCTCTTCTACCCTTCACCACTCCAACCTACCCAGTTATAATTTATTTGTAATTATTTCTTCAAATCTCCCCTCTAAAAGGAAAGGAAAATGACTCAAATTGCTTAAAGTCCCTTTATATAAAGAGGCCCTAAGAAAATAAACTGGCTAGTAATCAACTATGACACAAGTAGTATGTCTCTACCTGAAGACATTCTGTACAACATAACTATCTCAGTGTCTTTTAAATAAATTATTTATCTAATGAATATCTAAAAATCACTATTTTCTAAAGTAAAAGCACTAATTAGTTGGGGTTTAAGAAGTCTTTCCTATATGTCATTTTTTTTTGTATTTTTATTTTACGTACGCTACATAAAATTAAGAAAAAAAGCTCTACGTAAGTAGAATACAAACTAAAGCTAATTAAGTAAAATTTAGTTTAGTCATGATGGCAATATAAATCATATTTCCATTTCATGTATCAACTTTAAAAGAAAAAAACAAATTTACTAAAAAATATTAAAACATTCAATATATAACAGATGTAATTAAAAACA